GCATAAATGGACACAAGAATGAGCGACAAGTGAAGCGAGCTGATTAAGGTCAAGAAAATGAAGACGGGCAGAAAAGAAGACAGAGAAGTTAACCTGGGGTATTAAAAGTAGAGCCACTCGATATGGCAGCGTAGCTGCCAGAGTAGCGCCACGCTTTTCCCTGTGCCGCCTCTCACCGCGATTGGCCACACGCGGTACCATAGCAACGAGCTGAGCTGGCTCGGTTTCCGTAGCAACCGAGTGACGACTCGTCACGTGACCTCTCAACAGCCGTGATGTCATCGGTAAAATGGCAGCGCCCAGAGCTGGTGGATGCGAGTTCGTTCGGTGCGCGGAGTCGTGATGTGCCGCAGCGTGCCGACGATTTAGGGCTTCTTCGTGCTTTCTGACGTAGGTATAACGTGAAGATCTGAAAGAATGATACTTTATACCCTTTCTGTGCAAGATCGCTCTGGATATTAGCACCTTTGCGACAGCATCAGTAATATCGCCTCAGCGGTGCTCGGGTTTCCGGATGTATTTGAGGATCGATAAGACATTTAGCATGCATTTTTCGCATTCTCTTAGCTTTATTTGAACGTTGGAGTGTCCGAGAATCGATGCGAAATCTATGCGTCGCATGTTGGTCCTTGGAGAATTTGTTTTTGCGCCAGGTAACCGCATGATCACAAACTTTTAGCGAGGAAGCTTCTGCGATGTTTACGTTTTGTACTAATCAACCAGGGAAGCTGGATTCAATCCCCACCCCTGCCCGTTTCAATATGTATGAGAATCGTACCTGCTTGCGGTTGTGTATCACTACTGCGTGGTGCACGTTAAAGACCTATAGATCCCAGGCAAGCGGTAATACTGCATTGGCTAAATTGCTCATCTACAGCGAGTGACTCGTCGCAACTTTGAAATGGCTGACCAACTACACGCTGTGTAAATGTTAACACAACTCCCAGCATACTAATCAACGATTTTACGATATGTGGAGCGCAAGTTTGTCTGCTTCTTTTAGTAGGGTTTGTGGTGACGTCAGAACGCCGAGCTCTGAATAAAGAATAGTGGGTAGACCTAAAGGCAGCTTGCTTTGAGGTCTAAAAACTATACTTCAATCGGAGCCACTCAAATCTCGGGGTTCTGACGTCACCACAACCACTGCAAAAAGAAGCAGGCGAACTTGCGCTCCACATAGCTTTTAGGATAAAATTTTCGCATTTTTATAACTTCCTTTGAAAGTCTGAATTTCTGAGAATCATAACGAAAGGTATACTGCGCGTGTAGGGCCTTAGGGAAATTGTTTCAGCCCTGGGTCACCGAATAATCGCAGCATTTTTTAGCGAGGAAGCTCCTGCGATCTTTAACCTTTTTTACTGATCGCCAATTTTACGAATTGGCAGTTCTGAAGATTTTAATATAACTTGCTTTCGTTGCAATGGCTTGCATTTGATCGCAGTGTTTTTTGGTTTGTTTTTCAAGTGAAAAACTGGCGTTTGCTCAAGTGACGTATATGAAATGTCCTGCTATATAACAATGCATCAACACATACTATTAAACTTAGATGCTCGGAGGTGTGTTCGTCTTTGTAATTAACAAGTTACAGACGTATTTATTTCTTACGAGTGTAATATTTATTTTCTGTAGCTGGGCCCGTTTTGTGCTACTTGATGTCAGTGTGCTATGATGTTATCATCATGTGTGTATGGTTCTGAATATCCTCTTTACAATGCCTACAAAGGCCAAAATGACGTCAGCCGACCCCAACTCACGCATTGGACACGAAAACTGCGTCGCTCGGATGTATGCGCTCGTCAGCAATCGATTCGTCCATGGATATTTGAATTCGAGTTCCTGGCAAATGAGTGTCCTGAAAACCTTATCATCACTTGCGAATGCCAAGTTCTACGGTGCGCTTAAAAAGCACGGTGAAAGCTTGGGGTCATCGCACCGGTGCCCTAGCATGTCACGACTGCGTGATTTCACAGTTCTCTTTCGAGTTGAGGATTACAGGTAAGGAAGAAGAAGTTTAAAAATAATTTCGTGGCCCCATTAACACGGATATGTGTGCTACACCAGATAAAGATATTGACTTTTTAAATGCCGGTAAACTTCCGAACGACCATTTGGCCTGTCGGCAAGAACACCTCATATCCGGCGTCCGTCTCTTTTGATGGCGTCAACAATTCCCTAAAAGACCACAATGCCGTCCTTCTTGGTTGAACCCCGTCGACGTCGCTCCTCACCAGTTGGTGAGAAAATCTCATCTTGAAGGGATGATCGGGCCTTGAAGAAGTATGATGCTAAACATATACTCGCTCACTATAGGGCAGTCGAGCAGCAGTCATGTCCCGAGCTAATCGTCCTGTCGTGGCCGGCGTAATTTTGTTCCATCGGAGCGAGGTCCGAAAGTACTACACTCTAAAAAAAAAGGTAGTCATACGTGACTACCTTTGGGGTGGTAAAAAGTTGTCCCAAATATAACGACCCCTAGGGTAAAAATCACGACCTCACACGTAGTCAAAAAGCAGGTAGTCAAATTTGACTACCCCCAAAAGCAACATGGCGGCCGGTTAGCGAGGCTCAGATTCCCCGGTAAGGCCTAGCGAACAGCACGGCTTTTCGTTCGAGTGAGAGAATAGGGCGCATACGCCTATTCGACGTCTTCCAAGCGCCGTCAGATACTCTAAACATCCGTCCCTAGACACCGGTACCGTACCTATATCCCGGAAGGACGGCAGTGTGTGTGTCGGAATCGCGGCGATTGCCCCCGACAGTGCCGACAGCGTCTCGCTAGATTGACTGTGTTTTGACCGCCGGCGGAGCACGCTTAAAAAGGGATCATTACGCGAGGAATGGGCATGCTGATTTTATTGAACACAACGTATGCTTGAAGTCTGAGACGATGAACCGCTGGGCACCTTCGTCGAGCGTGGTCGAGACCTACGAGAGGCGAAGCTCGGACTGCCGCTACCGCTATATTTTTTTTTTTTTTTTTGCGATCTCTTTTTGTTAGTGCCTACCTCTCTGACGTGGTTATCCATTCGCGCGCGTGTGTGCTTGCACTTCGCAGCTCTTGGACACAGAACGAGCATTTAGGTGGCTGAGTGGCACAATTATTACGACTGTTATCGTTTTAATAGGTAAGAAGGCCAGCCGGGCCGAGCAGGCCAGCCTGGGCCAACCAGCTGCTTGTAAACCGATAGATACATGACTGCAACACTTTGTTCCTTGAATTAGGCGGCAGCTTGCGCCACCTAGAGGGTGTGGTAATAATCGCTAAATGGCGCTAAAAAATACGTTTTTATTTTGTTTCGGTTACGCGTGACCACACACGTTATCACTAGTACATACACGGTACATACACAGTACATACACCAACCAACAGACCGAACACTGGCACATACATACAGCAGTACAACAAGGCACACAAGACACAACAGCACCCGCGCGACTCTCTACTCTAACCACCCTATCGACACGAATCGTATATATGCCCTACCATTTTCTGGCAATGATTAGGCGAGTGAGGGCCACTGTTTACTAGAAGAATACAAAGAGTATTTACATGTATTATTGGTATACAAGTTCTTTGTGCATTTAGGTGGGCAGGCTAGACACCTCTCTTAATCCAGCACTTCGGAGGGCAACATAATATGAAAGTAATCGGCGAAAGGAACACCGCACGGCATGCTCCCCATCAGTTTCGGTTTCAGTTTCACGCAGCGGATAAGCTTCCGCGCGTGCAATAGTAGCAGAAGTTACAAGTCTCTCTACATTTCTGGTCAGTAATTGGCTAAAGGTTACATGATTCTTAGTCATGCGTTGTTCAATTCGTTCTCTTTTCCCTTTAATTCAGTGCTTGGTAATAGGTGACTGTTAATTGTAGCGCTGGCGGATGCTTTCCCGTGTTGGTCGAGTGGCCGATGAGTCGCCCTACTCGCTCCACATTAAAAGCCCCCAAGATTAAATATCAAGCAGTTACTAAAAATAAAGAAAAGTTACGTGCAATTAGATAAAACGAAATAACATGTCAGCAGTGTAGAAAGTTCAAAACGTTAAAGTATTACAACCAAATGTCTCTAATGGAGACAAAAACTACAAGTGGCAATTGTATGTATTCTCTTACTTTCCAAGTCTGATATATACAACTTTATTTTGAAAAATAGTTTATTTTAAAACTTAAATGAACCTCTTAAACAACCTTGTCGGTAACTCTTAAAACATTGTGGAAATGAAAATCTGAAAAGGAGTCTTTTTTTTCAGTACTGGACTATCTAACTATAATAATTATAGTAATGTTACTTTCTGAAGCCAGCAACAACCTGCAGCTTTCTTATTGGCACCTTCGATTATAAAGCAAAGCAAAAAAACTTACATGAAAGCAGGAAACATTTAACCAAAAAAAAAAACATTGTTATGTATGCATTACAAACATAATACTAATAGTAAAACTAGGATTCCAGAGTTCTTGCTAGAGTGGGCTCTACTGCGAGGAGAGATACACCTGTTTATTTGTTTGTTTACCGTATTGACCCGATACATACCATTTTGATCAAACTTGGGCATTTCGCAGCTTTCGAAACCTTACCTTCCTAGCTCAGAATTTTTAAAGCCCAAATTTTAGTGTGCTTGCTAAGCATGGAGGCATTTAACATAAGCAGTGCAGAAAGCTTGGGGCATTATATAATTACTCCTGGAATTGCATAAAGTGCTTCTAATGAAGACAGTAAACGTGGCAGTTTTTTTTTCTTTATTTTACATGGGATTTACACTTTTTTTTCCTTCTTGAAAAATTAAAATCATTGAAAACAACTCACTTCTTGAAGTAAATGAAAGCAAAGGAAAAACGAAAAAAAAAGTCTTTTATAACACTGAACAATTGGATCTACTGTAATTATTATAATAATTATACTTTATGTTAAAAGCCAGAAACAGCCCTGCAGCCTTCCTATTGGCACCTGTGAACAATATCAAACAAAGCAATCAACTTACATCAAAATAAATAGATAACTTAAAACATTACAAACTAAATAATTAAAGCACTCAGAACTAGTAATTTCACTGCTTAGAAAAGCATCTGAAAATGTATAATGTGCAAAGATGGATATTGTTTAAACCATACAAGTATATATAGTGGGCATAGCCCATAAAACCCAGTTTCAACAATAAGTATAATTCACTATGCCAGAAATATAAAAAGTTGCCCTCAGTTTAAAAAAAATAGCAATTGGTTGATCATGGTTTACTCCAGAGAAAGCAATTTTTCATGCAATTCTAGGGTTGCTGACAAACTATTGGTCGTTGTGACACAAAATGTAGATGAATACTGCAATACCCGAGATTTTCTCACATCACTCTTGTCATAGCATCTCCATGAACGTAAGCTTTTGGCGAAAAACAAATGTGCCGAGAGAGAGAGGAGATGAGAGCGTGCGGGAATGCCGGAACGCCGAGCTCTGGTTCGAATGGTTAGTGGGTAAACCTAAAGCTAGCTGCCTTTGTTTCCACTGCGCTCGTCGAATGCATTAGAATGCAGAACGCTGGCACCGGGCATTTGGCTCTCGCATTCAAACGCATTCAACGCTTGCAATTGAGACAAAGGCAGCTAGCTATAGGTCTACAACGCACTAATCGTTCCAACTAGAGCTCAGAGTTCCAACGTCCCTGGACGTTCTTGTCTCCTCTCTCTCACTCCGTTTCTCAGCACATTGACCATGACAAATTTGCTGCGCTTTAGCAAAGAAAGAGGTGTGTTTATGGCAGCTTGACATGAGGAAACTTTCTCGACATCTTGACTTTGCGAGACAGAGGTGAATTTGGGGGTCTGACATGCCAACAAAGGCCATTTGGCACACTCCAACGAGGAACTTAAGATTACTTTCGACCTCCTGGGGGGCTATGTAAGACTGCGGGACAAGCTGGGACGAAGGGGCCGGGACATCGCCGCCTGCTGCGATTGGTCAGCGGCATAGCACTGACCAATCACAGCAGGCGGCGACGTCCCGTTCCGTTCGTACCGCCATCTTGCATAGAAATATGCAAGATGTTATCCCTAGAAATTAGTTACCCCTAGAAATATTTTGATATGTAACCGACATCTCTAATACATCGTGGCGCCGCAACAGCTGCAATTCCAGTCTCCTGTTACAACGACGAGCTACTTTTGGTTGTAATCCTGATTAAAATGCAACTCTCACACTGTATGTACACCAAATTATGCAGTAATAGCATGTTTCTATGTCCTCTGCTGATGCCCTTGAAACCATTAGCTCACAAAATCAGGGCAAAAAAATCTATCCCTGTGTCGGTGATCATCCTGACCCCACAAGGAATGGCGTGGAAATGCTGCATTCTTCATTTCTAACTGCTGCCTCAAAAGTTTCTAAATTTAAGTAATTGAGTAGTTTGTTTTTTGTGTTGCAGCATCTGAAAAGTTGTCAGCATCTTTGGAACAACAGGAAAAATTGCCTCGTCTATCTGCAGGTCTGAAGCTCACAATGAGCTCCAAACCCGAAGTGCAACCGTGCCCATTTTTGTATGAGAAACACCAATGGCATGCTCCAGGATGGTGAGCATATTCTTGGCCTCCGGAGTATAGTGAATGCCGAAGGCCCAGAATAGGCTTATTAGCAATGAGAAAGCTTGCTTGAGGCTTGGAACGTCAATGCTCAGTTCTTCGACTTTCACTGCATACATGGGGGAGGTCAAGACATCTTCCCCAACGTATACAATACATGGGTTCATGTGCTGGGTGCCTGGCTCCTGTAGAAAAAGGAAAAGGAATACTGCCATGTATAACATCTAGAAATTCCCTGAACCTATTTGTTTATTCAGAAGCAGACAGGTGAACTTCTACACTAAATTTCCTCCACTAGGGTAACACAATGTTTCCAGGTTCACAAGTTGTCAGACATTTTTAAAGGGATACCGAAATGAAACTGCAAGCATAAATGACAAATTAAAGATAAGTGCACTATCTATCTTGAATGACTCTCTATATTTTTCTATCAAGCAGTAATCAAAGTGAGAGATAGGCATCTTGGGACGTTTGTGATGTGAGCACCATGGCCATTGCTAGCCTGGTTGCAAGCAATGTTGAACAGTGGTGGTGGTACCATGTTGCACATGGACAGTTTTGAACACCCATAGGCTAAATAATTCCTCTTAACTTTCCAATTCTCCCACATCTGTACTCACATGAATATTCACACTTGGCTACTTGTTTCTGTGCTGTGGCACTGCTCTGGGCAGTTAACTGACAAAATGACCTTCTGGCAATCCTTTAGAAACGTCTGTCAGGCATTCTGATACACACAAAAATTTGAGAGGAAGGGTATCTGAGTTCACTATAGCTTCATTACATATTCTGAGCATGTATTAGACATGAGGGTGCGTGACCTGTACGAGTGCTTTGCATTAACTCGGCTCGGCTCGTTTATACAATGTGCAAGGTCATCGACCAGAAAGGACTCCAATCCAATCACACACTTGATGTCCAACAAATGGTGACTGCCAATGTTGCTCAATGGGGTTTTAAAAGGGATTGATGTACCTACTATACTCTGTTTCACGATAACTTGGCAAATTGTGGAGGCTATAGCCCCCGCGATTCAATAAGGGCGTCGGAGCGAGGCAGTGACACGACGTCACTACAGAGTTTGTATCGCTGCAGCAAATGCGAGGCACGGAGGAACCAACTGTTGTCTGCATGCTAGCCTAAAGTCGTCTGCTGCGAAACCAAACAACTTTGGATGAACGTCCATCGCTGTAACAATGCCGTCCACTTGAGTAGTGAGCTCTTCGGGGTCAGTTCACAAGGCAACCATACGCCTAATGTACCCGCAAATCTGTGGCGGGTGTTATAGCTAGGGCGACGTTTTGAGCGGAAGTGGTCGATTACAGGGCTACGATCGTTCAAACTTCAAAAATTGTTCAAAAGCCACGTCATTCTTTGAAAAGAGTTGATCCGAATTAAGTATCGTTCAAACGTAACATGTCTTCGTCTATTTCTTCCATGTGATGTGGCCAGATGCAATCGTGCGAGTTCAATTGCAGTTAAAAGATAAAGAAGCCTAGATCTACATTTTATCGCGGACGGCACCGTTGCTGTGGTAGTAACGAGCCCTCTGTGGCTTCAATCATGGAGGGTTGTATGTGCCTTGCTCCGACGCCCTTACTGGGGCGCATTTTGGCTGCAACCTTCACAGTTTGCCAAATTATTGTGAAACGGAGTATAGGGTGACGCCCAGCATAAGCACAGTTCACTATACAGGTAGTTTTGACCCCAGTCCTTCAGCTGTGCAAAAAAAGAAAAAAACACTAGAGATCACTTGGTCGCTTTGTGTCATGCTGTGTACTACTATATTAGTGCATCCTTTTAGACATTTCTAATTAACAAAGAAAACTATATCTGTCGCCCTGCTGTCTATAATTATTATTTGTATGGAGGTTGACTGCCAGTAATAAAAGCTATTTGCATGAAAACTAAGATGTGCATAATGAGTTGCTCATACCAATTTCTTCAGAATCGAGGTACTTTTTTCATTCATCAGGCATGGCAGCAGGAGCAGGGCGCCATTGCCAAGAAGCGCTTGAGAAAAAGTAAAAAAAATATAGACAGTCACAATACTTCCCTGCAAATAAATGTTAGCATGGCATTACAATCATAATAAATGTTCTCCCTTTAAAAGGGTTGATAACTGGGCTACTTGGTAGTTAGACATTTGAACGGTATTAGCGCACACGTATGAGGAAGAGAGAAGAGACAGAAAAGAGCGCTACTCACAACTGTATTTACAAAGATGAAGAAAAGGAATAACCTTGTCAAGATCCCCATAAAGATGAAAAAGGAAGAAGAGGAAGCAGAAATATAAAACAGGAATATAAAACACAAAGTCGGGTGTTCCCTCGCGCGCACAGGCTTGAGACACTGGTTCTTTGATTAAACACCAAAACCTTTGTTGGCCTTTTCGTTGCCGTGGTGCAGGGTGAGTTTGCATCAGTCTTCGCTCACGCAGGGTTACCCTTGTCAGAGGGGAAGACGAACACCTCATCCGTGGTCGGCTGCCGCTGGGTCGTCGTGCCTGATGTCTCGCGGCACCCGTGACTCATGCGAGTTCTGCATTGTCCGTCTTAAAAAGTCTGTTTCCTTGCTTGTTAAGGCTACCGATGCCACACGCTGCAGATTCGCGAGCATGATTATTCTCTGAGAGCCACAGTGGGAGGCCATCCCGCAACACATTGCAAAGAGTGCAATTGCAATCCGCTGTTCGGGGAAACAATAACCCTAGAGAGGCACAATGATAAAATGACCCGCGAGGTGTTGGTAGCCTTAACAAGCAAGGAAACAGACTTTTTAACGCGGACAATGCAGAACTCGCATGGGTCACGGGTGCCACGAGACATCAGGCACGACGACCCAGTGGCAGCCGACCACGGACGAGGTGTTCGTCTTCCCCTCTGACAAGGGTGACCCTGCGTGAGCGAAGACTGATGCAAACACACCCTGCACCACGGCAACGAAAAGGCCAACAAAGGTTTTGGTGTTTAATCAAAGAACCAGTGTCTCAAGCCTGTGCGTGCGAGGGAACACCCGACTTTGTGTTTTATATTCCTGTTTTATATTTCTGCTTCCTCATCCTTTTTCATCTTTATGGGATCTTGACGAGGTTCTTCCTTTTCTTCATCTTTGTAAATACAGTTGTGAGTAGCTCTCTTTTCTGTCTCTTCTCTCTTCCTCATACGTGTGCGCTAATACCGTTCAAATGTTCTCCCTATACTTTACATAGCTGTATGTTACTGTTGTAGCCATGGCATCATTTATTTTCTAAAAATTATGATTTCAAAATATCTGCTCATGTTGTTGGCCGTAAGACTTGCAGCATAATAATTGCTGGTTTTGTAGGCACTTACAAGCAAATTAGCTACCTTAGAAAGCTTCCAAAAACATGCCAGAGGAGAAAGCAATTTTCTTTTGGCACTTACTTGCACTCTCTTCTTGAGAGCATCCCTTGGAGTACTCCAGAATTTCCTTTGCCTGTCGTTTGGAGGCAGCCTTCATAAGGAAGAGCTTGTAGAGTTCTTCAGTTTTCCTTTCAAGGAACGCGTCAAGTCCCTCCTCGGCATCTCGACCTGTCAGCCGTCTGAACTCCTGTCGAATCTGTAAATTATAAATTGTGATCAATTTATGAATGAGATGTCAACACTATAATAAAACTCAAAAAGAATCAGATTATGTCACTTGGTCATGATGGTGCCTACTCCTGCCTTTTGCTCTATGAGGCAGACCATGTTCTTATTAGCTAATATTTTCGTCTGCATTATACGAGGTGTGATCAGAAAGTTCCAGGACTCATTTTGTAGCAAAAAAAGAGAGGGCAGCACAGTGATGCGCGCTCAGCAGTCAAAGAAAGGGACCTTTGTGTCTCGTTATACCAAAGGGCACCGCTTTGTGAACATTTGCAGCTGCGTTTCACAAGTTTTTGTGACCACGTGCATGGGCACAATAGCTATTTTACTATAGACGACAAACCAGAGCAAGAGCGAACATCAATTTTGCGTCAAACTCGACAAATATAAAGCAGAGACAATCGATATGATTCAGCAAGCTTGTGTGAAAAAGCAGTGAATTTCGCGAAGTTTTTTAAGTGGCACTCACGATTCAGGAATGGCAGAACATCGCTGGAAGACGAAGAGTAGTAGGGCGACTTTATCCGACCTCTCCTTGACTTTGGTGACGTTCTGCCATTCTTGAGGTGCGAGTGCCACTCAAAACACATCGCACACCTCACTTTTTTTTTTACATTAGCTTTCTAAATCATTTTAGAGGTCTCTGTTTTATGTTTGCTGAGCTTGACATAAAATTGATGTTCGTTCTTGCTTTGGTTTGCAGTGTATGGAAAGATCGCCATCATGCTCGTGCATGTGGTCAAACAAACTGGTGTAGCGCAGCTCCAAATTTTCACAGAGACGCCCTTTGGTATAATGAGACATAAGGTTCTTTACTTTGACTGCTGCGCACGCATCACTGTACTGCCCTCACTTTCTATGCTACAAAATCAGTCCCGGAACTTTTTGATCACCCCCCGTATTAAACCCATTTACCTTGACTACTGGCTGGGTTGACAATTCTATGTGAATTGGTGAATTGCATGTCAACATTAAATAATATAATTTTCATAGTCTGGAACTCATCCCTCAATCCTTAACAGCCGGGTTTAAGTTTTACTGGCATATGTATACAGTAAACTCTCAATTGAGTGAACGCCGGTTTAACAAATATTTCAAAATAACGAACTTTAAAAAACTTCCCGGCAGTTTTCCTATGCATTCTGTGCAAAAATGTTTCAGTTCAACGAAATACAAATTTCGGAATAGCAAGTATTCCAGTTCAACAAACTTGGACGGTGGACCCAGGATTATTTTTGCAATCAGTTCAGCGAAGTTGGGTGCTCTGCAGTGCTGGCACAGCTAATGCCTGCCGCCCCGCTGCCGCTGTCTCTACAGCGGCGGCGTATCATCGCTGGTGTTTACAGTGCCGCCGAGGCAGAGCGGCGGTGTGGTAGACGAAAACAAACCACATGGTGTGTCTGTTCTTTGTCACTGAAGTGACTGTAGACCATGGCGTGCTGGCGAACAAGAAGTGCTTTATTCCTGAGCGCAGCGTTTTTATCACAGACATGACGTCACGAGCCGGGCGGCGCTTCCGCGATGACTCAGTCGCGATAACTCAATCCGCACGCTACAACATTTCCTTCCCCCTCACGCAAAAAATGTTCATTTCCTAAAGTCCTCGGGTTTAAAACGGTCAGGCGGCTTGCATGCGCGAGAAGTTCGTCGAAGGGGTTGCTTCTCCGCTGTCGTAGACGGAACCGGCGTTGCTGCAGTAGGTGTCGCCGGTCCTTCCCGGGCGGGGTCTGCGGGTGGCGCTGGTGCTGTTGCGTCCGGCGTCGGCGTCGGACCAGCCGCGTCTGGAGGTGGCGCCGCTAGCGTCGGTGCCTTCGCACTGGGTGGTGCTGACGGCACCTGGGCTGGAAAGCTCGTGGGTGGCGGTATCGATGGATTGTCATCCACAGTCGTACTGCCCGGTCTCACGATGGGTTCCGCGTGTCGAGGACGCAGGTGGTCAGCGTGCGTGAAGCGAAGCTGGTTGAGCACTTTCACAACGTAGGTCGCAGCACTGACAACCTGACACACGATTCCTTCTTCCCAGGAGACACACTCACCGCGCACTGTTTTCACAAAAACACGGTCGCCCACGTTGAACACACGTTCAGCACCTCGCGACACATCGCGTTGTTCCTTCACATGTTCTTGCTTGCGTTGCATGGCGCCGGCAAAGTCGGGTTTAAGCAGGGAAAGTTTTGTGCGTGGCTGGCGCCTTAGGAATAGTTCGGCGGGCGTTTTCCCAGTCACGCTGTTTGGTGTGTTGCGATAACAGATCAGAAAACTGTCAACATTTTCCTGAAGAGAACACTGCCGACCGGTTGCTTCGCCTTCGAGCACCTGCTTGAGCAATGCTCGTTTCACAGTTTGAACCGTGCGCTCTGCGGCACCGTTAGAGGCTGCGTGGTAAGGCGGGGTGCGAATGTGTTTCACGCCGTTGGCGTTCATGAAGTCAGCAAACTCAGCTGACGTGAACTGCGGACCGTTGTCGCTCACTAGTACCTCGGGCAAACCGTAAGCAGAAAAGGCTCCTCGAAGTTTTTCCAATGTTTTAGTGGTGGATGTAGAAGACATCACCCAAACCTCGATCCATTTCGAAAATGAATCGATGAGCACCAGAAACACATGGGCACCCTTTGAAGCGAAATCCACGTGCACACGCGACCAGCACCGGGCAGGGTAGCTCCAGGGATGCAGTGGTACCGGACGGGCGGCGGGCTGAACTGCTTGGCAGATTTGGCATTTCTGTACGTGATGCTCGATAGCCGCATCAATTCCAGGCCACCATACAAAACTTCGTGCCAGCATCTTCATGCGGCTGGCGCCTGGATGCTGCTCATGCAGCAAGTTCAGCACGCGGTCCCTTAGCTGTTCCGGGATCACTACACGGACACCCCATGTTACACAACCTTGTTCAAGTGAAAGCTCGTCGCGGCGCACGTAATAAGGCCCAAGTTCTTGCGCGTGCGGTCTTGGCCAACCATTTAGAGTAAACTCAGCAACACGGGACAATGTAAGGCTTCGTTTTGAAAACTTTGCAATCTCCTCTACGTTCAATGGGAGGCACTGAAACACTGAGAGGCACTCAACAGGTTCTTCCTCAGCGGGCACCGCCTGAGGCAATCTCGACAGAGCATCAGCCACTTCCATGTTTTTCCCTCGGCGATACTTCAGCCGATATTTATAAGCTGCCAGCACCATGGCCCAACGCTGCATTCGTGCGGCGGCCAGTGTCGGTACAGGCCTTTCCTGGCCTAAAATGCCTAGTAGCGGCTGATGATCAGTGTAGATTGTGAACTCTCTGCCAAAAAGATAGCGATGAAACTTTTTGAGACCAAAGATTAACGCCAAAGCTTCGCGCTCGCACTGAGCATACTTTTTCTCGGCTGGCGTTAACGTTCTCGAGGCAAACGCGATAGGCCTCTCTTCGCCGTCAGCAGTCTCGTGAAAGATAACTGCTCCTACGCCATACGAGGACGCGTCACAGAGCATTCCGATCGGCTTATCGACGTCATAGAATGTCAGCACCTGGCTGCTAGTCAGCAACTTTTTCGTATTAGCAAACGCCTCGCTGCATTCCTTCGTCCATGACCATTTCTGATCCTTCTTCAAAAGCCGATAAAGCGGCTCTGCGACTGTTGAACCATTCTTTAAAAACTTCGAATAGAAGTTCAACATGCCCAGATATGCCTTCAATTCTGTGACGGTGGTGGGCTCAGGTGCTGCCAAGATCGCTCTTTTCTTGGCCTCTGTAGGGTAAATCCCATCTGCGGTCACCGTGTGACCCAGATACGTCACGGATTCTTGGAAGAAACGGCACTTGTCCGCGTTGAGCGTGATGTTGTACTCACGCAACCTTCCCAAGACACGTTCGAGAGTCTTTTGGCAGTCTGCCGTGTCAGATCCTGCCACGATTACATCGTCAATGTAGCATCCGACGTGCGGAATGCCTTTTAGCACCTCATCCATCATAGACTGAAATATTGCGGGTGCACTAGCCACACCGTAGGGAAGGCGTTGGAATTCAAAAAGACCCAAGCTAGTGTTAACTGTCAAAAATGGTCTGGACTCTGGAGCGAGTGGCACCTGCTGATACGCCGCAGAGAGGTCAAGTACGCAAAAAACCTTGCCTCCTGCGAGGACAGAATACAGGTCCTCCGGCCTGGGCAGCGGATAGTGATCGGTTTTCAAAACAGGGTTTATCGTTACCTTGTAGTCTCCACAGAGTCTGAGACTACCGTCCTTTTTTGGGACAACGACAAGTGGTGTTGCCCAGTCACTGCGCGCTACTTGTCGAAGCATGCCCGTTTCTACCATGCTGCGCAGCTGGGTTTCTACCTGCTCTCGCAAAGCAAAGGGAACAGGTCTAGCACGGCTAAACACAGGGACCGAACCAGACTTCAGCAAGATCGTCGCTTCGAACTTCTGTATGGTGCCCAGTGTTTTTGAGAACACGGAAGGGTATTTCCTTTGCAGTGCCTGAGCCCTATCTTCCGTTGTGACTTGGCCAATCTCATGCCAGTCCAGCCTTAAACGCTGGAGCCAGTTCCGTCCAAGCAGCACTGGAAGCCTCCTTCCATTGTCTTTGACAATTACTACGGGCAACGTCATACTTTGACCCTTGTACACAACAGCGACATCACACTGTCCTTTGAGCTGCAGATGTTCTCCAGTGTACGTGCGAAGTGACATTTTAGCCGGACCACATTTTACATGTGGAAAAACAGAGTCGTACACGCTCTCAGGAACAATTGTGACTGCCGCTCCTGTGTCAATTTGCATGATTAAGGGTTTCCCTTCAACTTGAACACTCACTTCGTAACACGATTGAGTCGTATTTATAACATGGTACACGTCATGCTCAGCGTCTTCGTCAGAACATTCCAGAGCATTCGTGTTCTTCGGCACCCTTGTGTTTGGACACATTTTTTGCAAATGTCCTACTCTCGAGCACTTGCGGCAGACAAAGCTCTTGTACCAACAAACATTCGAGGCATGACTCCTACCACATCTTTCACACCTTTCCTTTTTAGGCCCTTGAATATCTTTAGGTTTCGAGCCCTTTGATCGTCCTTTTTGTCGACTCTTTATAGCGTTTAACGATGCCTCTTTGTCTCTCGATTGCATGAGTGCAGTGTCTCGAGCCGCCAGTTCTCGATCGAGCGCAATCTTGCAAGCGCCTTCAAACGTTAAGTTTTCCTCGGCAAACAAGGCACGCTGGCTCTCTTCATTACGTATGCCTGCTACTAGCCTGTCCCGAAGGGCGTCTTGCAAGAAGTTGCCAAAGTCGCATTTCCTAGCCAAGTGTTTCAGTTCAACTATGAAGTCTTCTACGCTTTCATGTTCGTCCTGAACACGTCTGTTGAACTTACAGCGCTCCGCTATAACGGAACTCTTAGGGCTGTAATGTTCTATTAACAACTGTTTAACAACTGCATACGACTTCTCGCCAGGGGACGCCGGCACGACCAGACTCTTTAGCACTTCATAAGCCTCAGGGCCTATCACTGTCAGAAATACGGGAAGCACTTTCTCGTCCTTTATGTCGTTTGCCACTAAAAAATGTTCAAATCGTTCCAAATACGATTCAATGTTCTGTGTCTTAGGGTCAAACTCCGATATTCTTCCCAAGCGTGACATTTCGGAACCCCAAAAGAAACACAGTACTCATCCGCTCGACGTTCCCTTGCGTAGCAGGTTGTCCCCGTTGCTGTTCAAGTCGAGTTCCCGAGGCGAAATCTCGGGGGCGTTGCTCGTTGCCCTTTGTCGGTACACGAAGGCGGTGGCCGGCGTGCTGCTTGCGATGTCATACTCCGGGAATATGTAGCGTCGCTGGCAGGCTTCAACGCATGACAAGCTGCGCTTGCTCTTCCGTGGCCGTGCGTTCCTTCGCGTCACTCGCCTCGCTGTCGCTTTCCGTTGCCTACGAGGGCACGTAGACAGCCTCGTCGCCACATGAAGTGACTGTAGACCATGGCGTGCTGGCGAACAAGAAGTGCTTTATTCCTGAGCGCAGCGTTTTTATCACAGACATGACGTCACGAGCCGGGCGGCGCTTCCGCGATGACTCAGTCGCGATAACTCAATCCGCACGCTACAACAGTCACCACTTCCGTTCGGCCATCTTAGTTTTGGGTAACAACGGCAGGACAGCAGTTTGTGCGCCCACTTTCGTTATGAGTACAACAGAAGCGGCTGTCTCTATCGGACAAGCTCAAAATCCTTCAGCGCCTGGACAATGGTTAAAGGCAAGTGGACGTTGCGAAGGACTACAGGATTCCACCGTCGACGTTGTCAACGATAGTGAAGCAAAAGTCAAAGCTTGAAGGAGCATCCCAACGTGAAACGACTCTGCACGGGATATTTTGAGCCAGTGGACGATGCCGTTGCGGTATGGCTTCGTCACAGCAACAGGCTGTACCAGAGGAAGTGCAAAAAAAGATACTCTCTGGACAGCTTTGCTACTTCTTGTGCATTAAGAGCACCAATGCAAATGAAAATTAAAATTTTTTTTCAAAATGAAAAAGCAGCAGGGTAACTGTTATGCACTTTGTATAGTATATTGATATACGTGACTCCATAAATTGCATTTCACACTTTTGACTCGATGTATGTTGTGCCCTATGCTGTTCCATATTCTAGTGAATATATTCAGTTTAGTGAATGTTCCTTGGGTCCCTTGAGGTTTGCTCAAGTGAGAGTTTACTGTACATTTTTTTTTGTGTTCAAGAGAATTGTACAGCGTAGCTAATGCATGAAATTATGCAAAGATCTACCACATGCACTGTAAATCATAGCTGATACTCTTTAGTTATAATTAGGCAGCAGACTTTCGGATTTTCACCGAAAAATGCCAAGAGACATTCTCCAGTGTCAGAAATTCAGACTTCTTTAAAACGAAAAAAACCCACTGATTTCTGGAAACTTTTGTTCTAAGCATGTTAGTCACCGACCGATTTTTCGGTGACTTACATGCTTAGAACAAAAGTTCGATGGTTCGGACCTAAAGGAGGAACCGTGACTTATCCCAAAGATGTAGTGTATATTCATGACCAATGTTTCGGACAGCTTGAAGTACGAAAGTTTGATAATTCGGACAAACTCGTCGCGAGCGATCAGTGGGAAACACCACCGAGAAGTGGCCATTTTGAATTCTATGTTCGCTGCAAATGAATTGGGTTGGTTTGGTTTGGCAGCGCGACTTGAGTACTTACTCCTGAGTCCTACCGCTAGCCCTTTTTTTTCATTTACAGGAAAACCTCGTTATAACAAAGTTGAAGGAGCGATCGTAATTATTTCGTTATAACCATTAGTTTGTTATAGCCAATGTTCATTTCTTCCCTAATAGCAAGCAAGGGGAATTATGATTGCTTTGTTATATCCATTAGTTTGTTATATCCCATTTTGTTATAACGAGGTTTTACTGTAGCTGCACGTCATCATCATCATCATTATTATTATTATTTTGCTTTGTTTCCTTCCATCCCTTCACGCCTCCGCCCCACTTTCGCGTCGCCGGTAGCCATTTTGCGTTTGTGGGTTTGCACCTTTCGTCTCGTTTTTCGCATCAGCAAAAAATGAGACTCCGACGACGACTACCGCCTGCAGCCATTGACAGCAGACATTATGAATGCATTAACATTGCTGTTGAATGTGTACGACGAGAACACAGCGCTCACACAAATGCAAGCAGACATCATCGCAAGCAGGCAAAAGATTAAGCAAGCCACTATTGACGGCTTTTTAAAGCCTGCTTAGGCGTAATAAAGGCAAGCTTTTCATCTACCGAATTTTCGGACTGCTTGTTCGGACCATTTCGGGGCGGGTCCCTTCCGAGTCCGAATAATCAGTCGGCGACTGTATTATTTTCATAAATCCTCCCTCAGACATATGTCATGCACATACTCTTACTGGAATTACTATCCTTAAAGGACAGTGGCATGAAAGTTACCGTCAGTCGGGCAGCCACCACGGATAGTCCCAAAGTTTTTGTTTAAGCCAGAGCTGGGCAACACTGCTCGAAAGTACACTGGCCGTTGTTACTTGCATTCCTTGTAACAGAAACATTTTGCTTGAGAACACTTATATTTTTGCTATTACATGAAGCAGAAGGGTAGTGGGATAACTTCAAGGTTGGTTTTTATTCTGAATATTTGATTAAACATTTTATTCTTAATATTAAAGAAAAAATCAAACTTGAATTAACAGTGATGTCTACTTAAAGTAACCATATTTTGTTCCTTTACACAACAAACACACTTTTAAACTGAGGAAGCACTGTGACAGGATGAGCATGTATGCCAATTCTTTTTCGGTTAAAACCATTGTAGAATGGAACCGGTTGTTACAGGTGTCATGATGAGCACATTATTTTCCTAACTTGTTATAATGCCTTTGGGCACTGCCAGGTAATCTGTGAAGAAATAATAAAACCAAAGGCTCCAGATGTTTACATTACTTGCAAAGTACCCACACCTTGAACTGGGTTCCAACTCGCTGTCTGTCGTTTGCCAGTGCTGTTGCATTATTGTGAGTGAGAGGCATTATAAGGGTGTCAACAAGATGTCAATTAAACTTAAGCTCTTAGTTTTTACAAGTTCTTTTTCTGCAATTGTTTTTGTGAGTAATAATCTTTTTTGGCATTTGCACAAACCAAATTGTCGAAATACAAAATTTTTTACATAAAATAAACTCCAAAAAAACGCCTGCAAATATTTTGTTCATCCTTAAACACCAGGAAATCTGTAGCCTAGTTAAACTAATAGGTTTAGGATGAATACTTGCTTCTTGTGCCCGCGTAAGGGCTGGGTAGCGATCTGTCACAGCAGTCACTGTCAAATTTGCTCCGTTTAACCATGCCCGCCTGGCTTTGTAGGTTCGGTTCATAGCGTCTTCCACTTTCCTTTTGTCCCACACCGTCTTCTTCATCTCTTTCTTCATAAACTCAATCTGCCCGTTGATCGTTTCCTCGTCTTCTCCAGGGCCACAGTCTGTAGCCTGAACCATCTGAAATTGTAAAAACAATTTAAAAGCAATGCTTTTCATGTTGTTTTTTTAGATAAAGATTGTATGTTTCATTTTTTGTAACAGTGTTCTTAGGAATAATATAGACCAACTCAACTCACTGATGTCACGCCACTGCGGTGGCGCTCCTGTCAGTACTGCGCATGCGCAAACACATTACGTATTCCTCCCGAATTCAGTTGCTGCACAAGCGCAGTGCCCACACTTGGTGTGGGCAAAGCGGGCTTGTTTGTAAACACTCTGTTGGTCTATAGAGGACCCCCTTCAAGACACCCAACGAACTAACAATTGCCCAACAAGAGATGTGAGGATGACTCACAATGGCAAGCATATGCAAAGCATGCTGTGTTACATCGATTCCGAAACAGTCAGAACATTGCTATGGTATTTTTAAATAATTTCAGGAATACAATGTCTATATATTTATATATTATTGTTTTGTTCAATGAATAAAAAAGACACTCACAATATCAGTGCACTTTACGAGTTCAATGTTCGACAGCATAAACCTTTTATCCTTCAATAAGCTTGTTCGATTTACGTGCACCTCCTGCACGGGTGCAGAGAAGTGTAGGTGCAGTGTACTTCCGGTATGTGTATTGATATATGACCGGAAGTACACCGCCCTACACTTTTCTGCACTAATGCAGCAGGTGCAGGTAAATAGAACGAGCCTAATAATGTGACTGCTCTTCCGAGACCTTGGAGCATCTCATTCTTTTTAAAGGACCATTTTCCTGGTAGTAAAAGACAAAAAAATAAACGCCCAGCAGGGGCAAAAGACGGACATAGACGTTTCAAAAGATCTGTATGTGTCAGTCTTCTGTCCCTGGTATGCTTTCATTCTGTAAATTCTTATTACGTACCCCCTTTGAAGGGGCCGTGCAACAATGATTGGTAGGAGTGTTTCTCACTTTACACAAGCTTCCAGGCACTAGTGGGACCCAAGAATACTCTAACACAACGCCACTTTCCAAGAAGCGTCTTCGTCGCAGTGAACTTAGAAAGATAAAAATGGGCGTTTTCTTCCAGCCTCTTTTTCGCGAAACTTGATGGCGAAGTTGCAAGGACAACGCCAACAATGTGATCTCCAGGATTTTGTTACCAAGCTTCGAGATCTTCGCTGTGATGATATTTAGTACAGCTCATACAGTGGACACAAGCACTGCGTCAGCATTCGATTAGGACTCATGACATTCAATGCATCGAGATGCATTTGGGTAGTGGCTCATGTCGAATCGCTGTGATGGCGGGAATAGCAGAACTTTTGAACAATGTACGGAACTCAGGCAGCACCCTGTGCTTTTGCAGCCCCAGAGCGTGGCTATGTTAAACACTGGAGGCATTTAATTTGGCTCCAGATCACGTGGCTGCTTTATCTGGTTTTCGTTTTTCTCAAATCTATTTTTGTGACTGCCATTGTGTGGAGAAAAAAAAAAACAATGCGTGTTTCATACGTTACAAATATCCAGGAATAATTCTAAACTATACTTATCGAAAGTAAAAAAAAATTTGCATTGCCCTTTTAACAATTCTTTTCTATCCCTAGTTCCCATTTCCTTTCTTGTTTTTTCTGATGAGTGTTATGACTGACTGATAGAACCTGCTTCCATGATTTCTCTTTCTGAGATTTCACTGGGACATGCACAAGAATTTAACAATTCTATAGTAATAGACCCTTTCCGGAATTCAGTGCCATCTGGTGACTCAAATGGCGGTTCATCTTTTACTATACTAATGGCAGCAATGAACCTGTGGTCTGCAGTATTTATTGGGGCACCATCACTTAAAGGTCAACGGTAAACGAGAATGTGCACTTCACTACAATTATTTTCAATCTCTTTTAGTGTCAATGGCGAAACAAATGCAGTCAGTCAGAACGAAGCGCCAACCCACATAGACGCTTTGATAGTGTTTTATACATCAAGGGGCTTTGAAGCCGAGTGAGTGCTACTAACAGATTGACTGGGACCGAGTTAGAAAAGAAACGCTTACGCAGCTCTTACGTCCAATTCCTGCTTCACGCCGCGCTAACATCGAGAATGTATAGGCCTCGAATCATCTGCTTAGGAGCATCTTCAACTTCTTCCTTCATCAGTAAACAGAAGGCCGCCATTAGTATAGCACATATGCCGTTTTCAGATGATGATGATAGTGACCAAAGTGGCCAGACTGAATTCCGGAAAGGGTCTATTGTCACATGCACTATGAACAAATCAGTTTTGTCACATGCACCATGAACAAATAAAAACATTTTTGTTTCTGCTTCTCTTTGACAAAGAAAGTAAACAATACCCCATGAAAGAAATGGGCCTTTCCTTTCCTTGGATGTTACAAGCACACCAGGAGTGTGGGAAGTGTTTAAGAGATGGAGGTGAGGAAGGCGGGATTTCTCTTCCCTTCCTTTGATTATTTTACGAGAAATGTCCTAGGGGTCTTCCCCCCTTCCCCCCTTCTCCCCAGTTTCAATGCCACAGAGTACTCACATAGTGGAACAAGCAAGTAAAAAATTAAACCAATTGCCTCAAGGCTGTTCGACCAGCCTTTCCCGTGGAAATAGAGTGCATTTTTTACAAGGTACTTCAATATTTACATAATTTGGCAGCTCAAACGAAATGTTTCTAACCCTCAACTACTCATGAGCTTACGTTTCTGACTGCCTTCTTCGGCACAGAGTGGTGGTCGCCAGGAAGTTCGACCCTTCGGCTTTGTTGTCGAGCCTTGGCTTTTGCCCTTGCAGAATCCACCTCCATGAGTCCAGCTGGCATCCTTTTGCGAACATTTCGGGCTCGGTTCTTGATACCTGCGTGCCAGGAGGCCTAAAATGTGACATCAGAAAAAGTCTGATTAATGACGTAATTGACAATAGACCTTTCCCAAAATTGAAATGACCCTGGTGGAGAGGTGCGACACGGTGGACTCTGGGAACAGTAGATTGTGAGCATAGTTTCGTCGTCTCAGTCTCTCATCACAGATCTTTAGCAGTTTTTGTCTTATTTTTCTCAGCTCTCTTTTAACATTTTAATGTGTATTCGGAGTGCCGATGCATTCATACATTGATCCAAACCAAAAAATATATGGCTTCACCCATAGGCATAGACTACGGGGTGGCATCGGGGCTTGTGCCCCCCCCCCCCCCCCCCCCCCCGGTGAAATCCAAGCTCCCCCCGGCCCGGGCCATGATCCTTAACGAGACGCTGTTTACGTGCCATGTAACGAGCTTCTAGGAGTGGCATGTAAACAAAATAACGCCTACTTTGCTTTTATTGACAAAATACATGGGAAATTAAGTACCAGCGTGCCTTTCGTTAGCTTCAATCTCCAGTTCTGGCAAGCAGTTAAAGCGCACCCCCCCCCCCCCCCCCCCCCCCGGGGAGAACTTCTCAGCCTGCCCCCCCCAGGAAAATAGAAAGTCTACGCCGCTGGCTTCACCATTCTTCTCAGTGGCTAACTGTCCCTAGTTTGGAGCATGTGCCATGCTACAGGGAGGGATTTATGAAAGTAAACTATTGTCTAGCAAGAGTCAATATGTGATGTTTGGGAAAATTTTATCCACTTTGCCTATCTGCTGAATTTACTGATTAATTTGATGATTTTACAAACACTGTACTGCCCAGGGGTGTTGAATGATGGCCTGCAGCCTCATCTCTACACAAATGTAATTGATTTTTTACGAAAATTGTCATAAAACAAATAAGTGACTATACTCGAAGACAACTTTTGGCAATGCTGTCAAAAGTATGGGCATGCATGCCATCTTCCCTTTTGAGCGCTGACTAGAGCTGTGCACGCACTCTCCACGTCTCTTCAGAAATGCTAAGAAAAGTTGTCACCGAGTATAGTGCCTGTGAACATTATCAGCATATGGTTGAGCGTTCCTAAATTTGTTTCCAGCATGCAACCCATGAAATAGGCAATGTACAGTTTTATCCTTGAATATGCTCTACCATTACAGCCGATCAGTGCCACAGCTGTGACAGCGGTACAACAAACTGAAGTATGGGCTCCTTGTAGTAAGGGCTCCTTGGTGGTGGAGAATATGCTTATACAGATTGTTCATATCACCTAAATTCTATGTGATTTAATTGCTCAACCATATCTGCAACTTAAATAACACCAATCAAATTAAAAAAAGTTCAAATAAACGTTTGTATTTATACAGCGTAAGGCCAGGCTGCCTTTGATGTATGGCGACACTTCTTCGTACTCTAGATGTGGTATAGCCAGCGCAGTATGACTGCTAGCCGGGGTCTTCAACGTGCATCATGCTGTAGCAATATGCGACCCCACACAGGTACAATGCTCATCCGGATCTGCACAGGCAGGGCAGTCAAAGGCAGGAAAAGGGAGGGGGAGATTATGGAGCCTTCATGACTTGTATATTTGCAAATTCAATCCCTAAAGCAAAATGAGTTGGGCAGCCTCTAACAGATTGTGAGAAATCTCAGAGTTATCACCTTTGGGTACAATGGCAACCAAAGGTGTCACAGTTAGTTGTTACGATCAGGTCATTGATGTATAAATGCATACTCACACAGCGAGTTCGTGATTTATCCATCAGTTGCGGGTACCTCCTGACGAGTTCTTGGGCAGCTGTAAGGTAGTGTTCATCAGGGTACCTAGGAGATATTTCAGGTGAGAAGCATTTGAGCGATTGGTTACTGACAAATGAGACTGACAATTGGCATCATTTATTTTAGGCAGATCTTAACTGTCATTATGGGCACAGAAATAATTAAGCCATAAATTAATACGTTGATTGTACAATTAAAATATTGCATCCTGTCTTCAATTTCTTAACTTAATTTCTTGCAGACATGGGAGACTAACTTGAGAAATGTGAAAACTACACTCAATGTACACAATAAAGTATTAATAGAGGTAAGTGTCAGAATGCAAAGATACAAAAAGAGACAGAGATATAGTAGCTGGATTATCTGCTATGGTTTAAAACTTCTTCCTCTTTGTGCACCTTGACTACCGTAATTTCCGGTGTATAAGTTGTGGTTTTTTCCAAACATTTTTCTTGGTGTGTCTCATACAACAATGCAACTTACACGAGTTTTTAGATTTTGTTTTCACGGTCCGAAGCCATTTTTTTAATGCGCCGAACGCCATTTTTTGTAGAGCACCGTAACTATGTAGTCATAGGTGGTGTTGCCCCCTCCAGGAGGCACTGCTGTCACCGCACTCTTCTACACTTTTCATAACTGACTCAGAAAGCGAGAAATTTTAAGGTTTCCCCAGAGCGGCTCAATTTGGATATGCAATGCAGTGAGAATAAAGCTTTTACAGCATGTTATCGACGTTGCCTAATTCAGCCATGGCATTCTTTTGCTTCATTCAGTATTCTTTTGCTTCATTCAGTCCAATAACACTGTAAGGTAAGTGGGCTGGCATACACGCATTACAGACTATTTTCTCATGTCTCTCTTAGTTTCCGTTTGATGACCAGTTTCTTTTTGCCATGCTCCATCCATGTTGCTACATGTAACAAAAAAGAATTGTGCCTAGCCGATCTCTTAGAGGTACCGAAAAAAAGTATGTCAAGGTTTCCCTTTCTGCCTGCGCAGAAAGCCTAGGCCGAGTCCCGTCGTCTCCGGGACTTGGCCTAGGCTAGGCTTAGTGCTCCAAAGCTTGGTTCACTAGTGTCTAGCTCGTTAAACTTTTGTTCGCTCGGCACGAGTTACCTCGAATAAAACTGACTACCATCTTTTTTTGAGCATTTTACGTCTTTTTGCTGACAAACACTTGACTGCCCCCGCCAGACAGCTCCATGCTGTGGGCATTTCTTGCGAGTTAAAAAGTCAATGTTGCACATCAAACGGTACATGCGATCTAGCCGATTGTGCAAAACTCTGATTTTGCAATACCGATGCACGTAAACTAAAGAACTCATCGCTTGAACCGTGCGAAGAGGTGCGACTTATACAAGGGTGCGACTTATAGTCCGGCAAATATGGTATGTGCTTCTTTTTCTTCTTCTAAGAGATAAATAGATAGAATTTACTTTGAAATGGACCCACATTTCAGTGAAACGTAAAACACCGCAAATATATATATATATTTTTTTTCATGTTTAGCTTGATAAAAGGCACGCTGACATGCATTGCTTTGTTTTCTTCGATGGCCATAGTTCCAAGCATTTCTCATGTAGTCTAGCTGGTAGTTCAGTTATAACACTATTTTTCTATCGGTAATTTCACATTTTTTTCTCTTATTTGTTTAAGCTGGCCCTATCCTAGTATCATGCACCAACTAGCTCAGCTCATAGCACATTAATCGAAAATTCCCTGAGCAGCAGTGCAACACCTACTAGGACATTTTGGCTCTATTTGTCTTGAAGCAGCCTCATGCTGTATAAACCAGAACATGTAATTTCTTTCTTTTTTTTCTTTTGAAGCATTTTTTAAAGAAGAAAGGAAGATTAATATGCTAATGATAGTAAAGGGTGGAGCTTAAATCACAAACGTTTCCCCTCTTCTAATGTTTGAGTTTGCAGTCTCGACTGTGGTGATGCCACATTCATCAAAGGAAACTCACTAGCAAAAGAATACTGAGCCTTCACCCCAAATTAAAACTGAACTACCAGAATTGATCACACAGAAATTGTTCACGTCTATCAGGATACACATCAGATAGAGCAGCATTTATGGGACTCAGGATATGGGTAGTGCATATAAAAGACATATGTTTGGTTACAAATTATGTAAGACCCTGCAAAAAGTGGAGACATGACTGCACATCTGTTGCAAATGCCTTGAACTAATTTTCCACATGAAAATGCCAGATTGCCCAAGGCAATCTGGCGTTTGGAAAGTGTGCCCTCCCAATGCCTCATCATGACTGCTAGCTGGAAAATAATTAAATATTAAACAATGGAGAACTAATGTTAAATACAGTTTGATACTCACATAGTCTCTATACATAAAGATGAGACAATCTGTCTGATGATGTTCCTCCTCAAATCCGGCATCACCTTGCCCACTTCCGTCTTTTCAATTTCCTGAGCAATGTTGATCGGGAAGTCAGGAAACTTGTACCATAGTGGTCCAGGTGCTGATTGTACGGATACAGGGCTGGGAACAGCAGGACTCTCCGGGCTCAATGCAAAATCAGGATCGCTGCAGTGGAGAAGTATTCTGTCCTTAGTCTTTCCACCATAAGAAAGTTTCTTAAGAATGTGCAAAAAGCAGTGTCATCAATTTCTGTCATGACAAAATCAAAGTTGCTAGGGCTCTGTCCCGGTTATGAAGCAAATTATACATATGCAGTAATGTCATCGTCATCCTCTTATACGTGCTGAAAGTGAAAGTGTTTACACACTCAACACAACAAGCAAATAGATCAAGTGTGCCATAAATGTACTAACAGCTCCAAGGGTGCACTTCTGGCGAATAGGTCCAGGAATGGGTTTTCGACCAGTCTTATAATGTCACCGTTCGTGACAACAGTTGTGTCATCAATATCAAAGAACTCATTGAGTGCTTTGTCCTTCACCTGAAACAAATATTAAATATAAATCAGCTTAGCTGCACGTGAAAAGGTAAGTTAATACCGAGTGTTTCTACAATGACTTTAAAAATCTCAAAAAATACCATAAAATACCGAGCAAGTGCCAACTCAAACTTTGAAGATAATCAAGAAAAAATAGGGGATGGGCGCATGTGAGGTCGTCAATTTTACATATATATATATATGTACTGTGCACATTTTTTTAGATGTTTAAAGTTTTGGGAGTGGGCGCTTAGTGCGGAATGGGCAGATGCATGGTATTCTAAATTATGCTGTTTGGGATAAAAAGAAACTCTTTTTGAAAACAAATTGTCAACTAAGCACGGTAGATGCCTGGGATTGCAGAAACATACTAAATATCTACCGAATTAATTTGTAAATTAGTGCAGTTTGGTGGGCAGTATGAATTGCAAGTTTGATGATGCAGACAATGATCCCATATTCATTTCTAAAACGGAAAAATCCCTTCTCACAAGGACTGCAGCGCGACAAAATCTCTAGCTTTTTTTCTGCAGGAAACTGAAACAGTGAATGAGAAGCACAGGGAATTATGTGCAAAGAAAACTTCCGCTGTTGACGAGTTGAAACGTCACCCAATTACGGCACGTGGTTCAAATTTTCTGCATTATTTTTCTCTCCAGCTCGGCATCCGGCGGCCACTTGCATTGGCCGCATCACTCCATGCAAGAGAGATAGACCTGCACAGATTTTCATTTCAAGTAGCAGTTCCATTTTTTTTTCTTCTAAACACAGAATGTGTTTTATGGGGCATTTCCTAGAAGAAAATTGCATGAACAGGTATCATAATAGCAGTCATAGCGAGCGTCTTGAATACATGATGGGAGCATTACAGATGTTAAGCTTTCATATAAAGTTGATATATAAAGATTGAGCCTCGGCGAGGCTCGAAGCTAGGTCGGTGCGGCGGCCAGTTGGATATCATAGTCACACAGCTGGCCTTGAGGGATTAATAATTCTGATTTAAAAGCAAATGCGCCAGTGAGAGCAGCATGTTTTGTGTAAAAATAACTAAAACAAATAAAAATACACAACAACAAATATAAAAAAGATTAAAAAATAATATACAATAATATTCCGATAACATAAAAATAAAATCACAAAAATAATGTAATGCAATAAAATATATCAGAATAAAAACAAAACAACACTGAAATAAAAATATATATATATATATTTCAAAACAAATAAATATATATATAAAAAGATTGAAACACATTGCGCGAATGATGCACAGAGTGGTTCGTGCGGGACATTCCGTGCTCCATGGTCTTCAGCATTAGCAAACTTTTTATTTATTTATTTATTATTATTATTTTTTTTTTATGAGTGATGCGGCAAAAAGCGCGTGCTGCGTGCCGAGGTCGACGGCAAAATGACGTAGACGTTTTGAACTGCGCGTCGAAGATTAGGTGACGTCACAACACGTCACCAGCTGAAGGTACCGTTGCACGTGATTTCCTGCGCTTCTCGTGTTGTTTCGGTTTCCTTCGGAAAAAGCTCGCGATTTTCTCACGCTACAGTTTTTGAAAACTTCTGTTTTAAAAACGGATATGGGGTCATTTTGTCTGCGGCATCAAACTCGCAGTGGCTACCAAACTGCGCCGATTAAGAAATAATGTTTTTATTTTTTTTAATTGGTTTGTTAATTAGTATATTTGCTCGGAATACGGACGCCCACTGCGGCTGTCAATTTGTTCCCAGAAAGAGGTTCTGTCTATCCCGTACAACATATTCTAGGAACTTTTTTTTAAGTCGATCTTTATTGGAACACCCGCGGCATATCACACGTAAAGTAATAAACTTTTTTTTTTAAGGTTTGTAGACATGTAGGGCAATGGGCTTAGTTAACTAGCTTCAATGAAAAACAATTATTAAAAAAAAAGGGGGGGGGGGCAGGCCGTAAGCGGCAGGTAATAACCAAACTTATAGTTAAACCACACCAATTTTTAAATAAATGTTGGCCTTATTCGACGCAGCCTAATCAGAGATGTGTAGACTCAACCTGTCATCAAAACAAAACAAAACCTACTCGAAAAAGAAATTCTACACGGGGAGACGTGGCTTTTTTTTTATTGGAAGCACTGGAGAAAGTGCATCGGTGCCCGATCGGCTCGCAATTACTCGCCACTCGCTCCTGCAGCGACCACCGACATCTTTTCAGAGCGGGTGTTTCGCTCCAGAGGGTCACCGATAGCCTACATTCTTCATGAATGACGCGGAACAGAATTTATTTTATCGAAATCGAAAACCTCTGTGACCTAATCTTGAAAGCCGCTCTCGCGCCTCTGCAAGTACCACACAAAACGTGTGCGCGCATATCACTCACCTGTATCAGCATGTTGTCCACGACATCTTTAAAGGGGCTTGTGAGAAGGGCCGTTCTCACATCCGCCGCAGCCTTCTCGCCGCCTACAACCAGCTTTTTGCAGGACTCCTTGTACTTCACTATACAAGTAACGCTCATTTCTTCTCAGCCCTAGAGCAGCGATTTGCTGCTGTGCGTACAGAACAAGAGGTGGAGGCGAAACTAAAACGCTCGCAGGCAAGCCCGGGCGATGGGGAAATCCGGTGCCCCTGCTTGGCTATTGGTCCGGTGGGCACGTAGCTCCCAACGCTGTCTCAGTTGGTTACACTTTCAGGCCTGTACCTTTGGCAAGACTGCGCGCAGCTATACTTTGTTCCTCTACGATGGATCGCAAAGGACGCTAAGAACCACTAGAGCCAGTCCATAGCTCGGAGAATGTCACGTGTCCTCTTGGGGGAGGGGGAGTGACGCCAGAACAGAGAAGTCCCATGACATGCCACGTGCTATGAATTGGCTCGGGTAGCTCGTAGTGTTCATCGCGCTAAATCCTAGGGTTTACGCGATAGAGAGGGGGGCCCTATAACTAGGTAAACAGCCGACTCGTATACAAAGGATGCCGCTTCGGAGATATGTTTCGTACAATGAGAGATGCCGCTTCGGAGATTGTCTTCGGGTTCTATCAGAACCAGCCATCTTCACGTGTGCTTCAACGCGCGTTCAGGGTGGTCGGTTATGGCGCGTCGCGTCAATACCACATTCGCGCACTTTTACCACACGCAGAGTTCACTGCTCTGTTTGCTCTAAAAAGCCGTCTGCTGCTTCCGAAAGAGTAGGACGTTGAATAGGCCAATCAGGGGCCCCGAACTCGCGAGAGATGCTAGCACGAGAGATGCTGGCGTCTTTTTAAAAAGAAAAACACAGAAAAACGTGGAGTTTCCCTTTCTCTTTTGGCGTGATGTGATCGAAGCAAGCAAGCAAAACTTTGTCAGAACACTTAACGCCGGTTGAGAGGCGGTTACAACATGGAGAAAATTCAGTTCTTTCAGTGCCCCCGTTGCACATTTTTTGATAAAAAATTGACTGTGATCGTTAGTCATCTCGGGGTCGTGCACAGTGGAGAGCACAACTTCCTTGTCACATGTGCTGTGGACAGTTGTGGAAAGTCATACAGGCACGTCGAGTCGTACAGAAAACATCTATACCGGAAGCACAAGGATGCCATTTCGCCACCTGAACCTCCGCAACTAGAAAGCCCCATGGAGTGTGAAAGTGCACAGGATGACCCAGTTCTCCCAGATGAAAGTGCGCAGGACGACCCAGTTCTCCCAGATGAAAGTGCGCAGGATGACCCAGTTCTCCCAGGTGGAAGTCGTGACAATCCACCAACCACCAGCACCACCAAGCCTCAGACATTTGAAGAGTTTCTTTCCACCATGAGTAAGACTGTCTGCATGTGTTTCTTTAAGTTGACAGAAGAGCACAAGGTGCCTCACAGTGCAGCAGACTTGGTGTTTGCAGACATGCGGTTCATGCTTCAGGTTGTATTAGAACAATTTGCTGGACAGGTTAAACAGGCCTTGCCATTCAGTTACGACGCACTGCCCAGAGAACTAGCAACTCTACTTGATTGCACCTTTGTTGAACAGATTTTCAGCTGTGTCAGGTCAAAGCATGCACGAGAGCAGTTCGCAAGAAACATGTTTCCCTTTGTGAGTCCAGATGAAGTGAAAGTCGGAGATGAAGGTGACACATTTCAATATGTATCGATTGGAAAAGTGCTTACAAATATCCTCCAGTTGAAGGCAGCTCCAGAACTCTTAATTGATGAGCATGTCCCCACTTTGACAGACGATGGGTACAAGACCTATAAAGACTTCAGGGATGGATCCGTGTATGAGAGGTTACGAGATGTTGTGACAGACGCATCTGTAATGACGCTCTTTGTGCTACTGTACATGGACGAGGTGGAAATTGCCAACCCCCTCGGGGCCAAACGTGGAGTCCACAAGCTGACAACAGTGTATTTCACACTGCTAAACATCCACCCACGGTACAGATCAAGGCTCAGGTCTGTCTACTTAGTCATTCTAGCAAAATTTAAGGATGTCGAAAAACATGGGCTTAGCGCCATCCTGAAACCACTACTTGATGATTTGGAAGAACTCAGCAGCACTGGCCTCACTGCAGCTATAAATGGTGTTCCACAAAATGTGAAGGTCATTGTGATGGCAGTGTGTGGCGACAATCTCTCCCAACATAAGTTAGGAGGGTTTTCGGCGTGTTTTTCGCAAGGGTGTGTATGCCGCTACTGCATGGTGACAAGTCGCGACCTTCGTACCGTGACAAGTGAAGAGCACTGCCAAATAAGGACAAGAGATAGCCACAACAGCCACTTAGCTGCAGTTAAGATAAACCCTCAGGTCAATTGCAAGCTGTATGGTGTTGTCGGCCCATCCCCAATATCACAGTTGACCTATTTTGATGTCACGATGCAAATGGCCCCTGACGTCATGCACGATCTTTTTGAAGGTGCGCTTGCATTCATCATTAAGCATGTCACAAAAGGTCTAATGGACGAAGGCACACTGAGCCTGGAGGATCTGAAGAGAGTGGAGACTTTTCCTTACGGGTTCAATGACAGGAAAAACCGTCCAGAACCACTGACAGCTGCATTTATTCAGGGAGGAGCAAGCCTCAAAGGTACGGCCTCTCAAAAACGGTGCCTGTTCAGACTCTATCCCCTGATATTCGGAACATCCATTCCGGAAGGAAACAGACACTGGAATGTGCTCCTCCAGCTGCACGGCATTGTTGATTTGGTGCTCTCTGAAGAGATTCCCGAGGACTGGCTTGCATACCTCGAAGTTCTAGTGGAAGACTTCATCCAAGCATTCACAGAGATGTACCCTGAGGCAAGGATCCTCCCAAAAATCCACTACATTGTGCACTACGCAAGGATGACAGCTGCCCTTGGACCTTTGCGCCAATACTGGTGCCTTCGCTTTGAAGCTAAGCATCAGTATTTTAAAGCCATGGCTTCAAAGGTAAAAAATTTCAGAAACATCTGCAAGACGCTTGCATCACGGCACCAGTTGCTGCAGAGCTTTGAAATGAATTCCCTTGAAGCAAAATCAAGTCCAAGAATGCTGCGTGCAAGAGAGGTCAACAGAGATAATTTGCCAGCTGCTGCTCAAAGCTTGAAGCACAAAGTGAGCCTCTTGGAAGCGAAAAGTGTTTCTCTAGATGCAGGAGATTACAAAGAAGACGACATTCTCGTGGTAGTGAAAGGAGAGCTCCCCACATTTGCACAGATCCGCAACATTTATGTGTCTCATAATGATGTGTTTTTGTTACTTGAAATGCTTGCAACCGACTGCTTTCAGCAACATGTGCGTGCCTACAAGGTGGCCCATACAGGACTGCTTCAACTCTCAGAATGTGGTCCCGAACTCGAGGTATCACATCAGCACCTCGACTTGTACAGTGATGGACTTGTATGTTGTCGTCATGACATCTTGTCATGACGACAACATGACGACAGCCGAAATCTGTTCAACTTGTGTATATGCTTACATAATTAGTTTGAGTTTCATACTAATAAAACTGCTTTCTTAATAGTATATCTCGACAATGTCTGCATTAAAACGAGTGCCGCTAAAAAAAAACTTGTCTGAACCACGGCTATGTAAACTGAGGCAGAGCCGTATATGGGGAAAGTTTGGTCAGTCTATGATCTTGCCGCCGTAACGTCCCCCTCCCGAGTGAGCCAATCAGCTCGCGGCGCAGAGCGAGAGGCGTGAGCGCATGCGCGTGGACCCCAGCCGAGTGGGGAGGGCCGCCATTTTCATTCATTCGCCCGGCGGAAGCATGGGATCGACATCTAAATTTTGATTCTTTCCTTTTATTTGGCAGGCTCTGGCAAGAAAATGATGCAGTGTTATTCCTTCGTGGCTTAAAAAGCAAACGAATTAAGCTTCTGTATGTCTGAACGTAAACTTGGATTCAGGCAAAAAAGAAATAAGCCTGTAGCAGATGACGCGTAGCCTCCACAGTGCTCCGAGCCAATAGCGTTGCGACAAAATGGTGGTCGTCTCCTCTTTGTTCCCTTCTTTCTCTTTCGCTCCTTTGCACTCTCCTCCTTTTCCTTCGCTTTTCTCCTCTCCAGTGCCTTCGTCGCCACAACCACTGGCCAGACTCTCCCAATATACGGCTCTGAACTGAGGCACGCGGACCGCTTATGACAGCCAAGGGGAAATAGATGCAGCCCACCATGTCTTTAAAACTTTTAGACAGCCTCGGTTTGTGATAACAAACCATTTTAACTGCTGTGTCAGTCTTAAAAAGCAAGTTTTCAGCATGAGTGGAGAGTTTACAAAAAATTCAACTGCTCTCCTCCCTTCACACAAATGCCTGTTTAAAAAAAAAAAAAAAAGTTGTATGCAGCACATAGACTATGACAGTCTATTACCGCGAAATCCCGAGAAACATACCCACTGAAATCGAGAATTTGTTAAAAATGAAGTGTGGGTCAACTTTCAGCATGCAATCAAGAAAGCTTGGAAAAAATAATAAACTATTTTTAGATTATGTTTTTCTGCCAAACTTGTTATCGAAGCAAGGGGCAATGAAGCAAATATGACTATATTTTCCAGTCAGCAATGTTCGCTTATATCTCGCTATAGCTAACAAGATGTAATTACGCCGAGGTCATCATATATCCCACACTACGATTACTTTCGATGTTTGAAAGAATAGCCAATCAAGCGAAAAATAGGGGGGGGGGGGGGGGGTTACCTTTCGGGGGTGGGGCATCTCTCGGGATTTTACAGTAGCTCCTGATATGGCATGCAGTAGGAAAGTGAGCTTATTCTACAGGATTGAACAATATTTCAAAAGATTGTAAAAATGTTACCAATATTTTTTAATGTACTTGCAGAAATGAGAATCACAGCAGAAGTGCACAGATAGGAACAGCACCATTCTCAGATGATCATAGCCATGCCTTGGAGCTGCAGACACCACAGAGCCTGCACAATAACAGAAAAGCCCAATATACTTTTATACTCTTCATTCAATCCATATTTGTTCAAAAACGCTTCGATGCAAATGACACTTGGGGAATTAGCATCTATTATTACAAATGAATGGTAACAGCCTAATGACTAATACGAAATGCAGAAGGCTGTAGAAAGGCACTCAGTACATGAGACAGATACAGATCAAGTTAAGCGGGAGAGCGATGCAATCTAGTTGAAAAGAATGAAAGCACAGCTTGAACATGTCACAGGCATCCAAGTATGGCTCTCCATCATGTTCAATGTATTTTAGCTGCCCTAACTGAAGTACAGTAAGTTTGAATGTTTCATTGATAGCATTGCTGCTGTCACGTTAGGACTGGTAGTGTAATTAACCTTTGGATCAGAAGCACGGGGTGCTGTCTGCTTCTGTTTGCTCTAGTGTGTGTGTTTTTGTTTTTTTTGTCTATAAACAAAATATTTTCTGTGAGTGTTTCTTCATCCAAATATACTAAAAACCATTTTCGACACGAAATGGAATTGTTCCTTTATTTTTAAGGGTTACCGTCTGCTTTCGATTGTTTCCTTGTACGCCACGATAGCATTTACATTCATTTGCCGTTAGCAGATGAATTCTACACTTTTCAGCACATAGTACCGAAAAGTGTAGCATGGTACAGAAAAGTGTAGCATGGTGCAGACAAGCCCAGGGCAGCGAACTTCCGGTATATGTTTTAGGACAGGCTGCACTTGACAGTGGTGTGCACAGGCACGTAGCCAGGGGGGAGGCCCTGGCTACGTGCCTGTGCACGTAGCCAGGGCCTCTCCACTGGCTTGTCACGGCTGCCCCTCGTCTTAACTTTGTCCCTGTCTTGTCACGGTTTTAAACCGAAGATGCTTGTCAACAAACCAGCCAAACATATCTTTTAGCAACCCAAAATCAAACTCTCAAGATAACTGTTACCAGTAAGAGCTGTCCATGCGCTTCCTTTTCTAAAAAAAAAGAAAAAAAGAAACATTTATTTTAAGCGACAATGAAAACGACCTCGTTCTTTTTGCTGGCGCCTCGCTACGGCAGGGCATGCGCCTCAAACTTGTCACAGGCAGTATCGCGCACATGCAGTCTGTGAGTGACGTTTGGGTCGCAGAAAAGCCTTTACCGAGCGCCCTCAATAGTGGGAAACGGTACTCCATTGGTGTGTTGTTGGCGATGTAGGTTGGGAGCTCGCAAGCAAACAGAGGCAATCTTGGGTGTGTCATTCTCTGGGCAAGACAGGATACGTCATGATGATATCGTTCCACGGCATTGTTGCATAACTAGAGCGCTGAGTCGCGCAATACAGAATGAACATCGGCGCATGTGACCCCCAGATATTCAAGCTTAGATATTGTCTGGTGTACAACCATAACAAATAAAAACCACTTTTCAAATACCGTCGACAAAAAGGAAGGTCCCAGATGGGCTGGTGAAGGTTAAACATACTGAACAAAGCCTCAGACTGAGGAAAGGCAGAACGAGAAACAGTCATATCTACTTCTGCACGTTCCTCCTGTCGGTCCTCAGTCCCCAACACAATCAAATATAACCCTACCTCACAATTAAACACAGTGAAAAGAGTATGCTTACCTCATTTCAGCAAATATTCATGTCAAACCAAGCGCAGCGTCGGTAGCGTCAAGCCACAACTCGCCCCTTTCCGCACGTAGAAATTCAGCGAGACGCTCACGCAGGCCGCACCGGCCGAGAAGGGAGAAAGCCAACCAGTGTTGCCAGGTTGCTGCCGTGCTTCCGCCAACTTACGCGAATTACGCGACACATACTGTTGTTGGCGGTTTCAAATTTGTGCACTGATTACAAAAACTTAAAATAAAATACTTTACAAACTTTTTGAGGTTATTCAAGTCAATGATTTTATTGTACGACTGCCTGGACAATATTATATGAGGCTAAAGTGACCACCCCACCGTTGTCACTGGGAGGGATGTGGTCATTCCTCAGCGGCTTAGGGTCGTCAATTTGCCCAAAGGCTAGTAACAGGGCCTTTGGGGTAGTCAATGGCTCCGAAACGCCATTTTGACTACCCCGGGTCGTCATTTTTTCTTAGAGTGTAGGACGGTACGTTCGTCCCACGAAACGGCCGCCATCCCGGCGGCGCCGAAAACCTCTCGCCTTGTCCGTGCACGTACGATACCATATAGCAGCTCTCGTCGCCTGACAGTCCCCGGGCTGCAAATCATCTCACTTTTCAGAAAAAACAGGCACCGTTCCTCCAGATGTTCTTGCCGTACCGCCGTGCCAAGCGTCTTATACCACTTTTCAATGAACGAATAGAGGTATCAACTAGACTACAAAGGTTGCCGCCCGGCGTCGCTAGAAACTCGGTTACCATGGCAACCTCTCAGGCCCAAAATGGAGATCACTATCAGCGCATCTGACGTCGTGCATCTAGATAATTTTGCGTCGTGTCGCTACTCTGGCAGCTACGCTGCCATATAGAGTGGCTCTAATTAAAAGCATACTAAAACAATCTCGAACTTTAGTATGTGCCGTTTCGTTCCGTTATAAAATAAGATAGGAAAAAAAAAAAACGCTTCCGAGTTTTAGATATCCCTTTTAAACATCTAATGTTCGGCATTTGCGACCAAGGAAATGGGCATTTCATTTAAAATGCTCACCATCCGACAAACCGAAACCGCTTCTTTAAAGTCGCAATTGTTTTTATGTAAAGGAAGGGTAATGTAGCTTGTACCGTCCAATACATTGAAGCATCATGTTGCTAACGATCGTGCCGCAGCGTAATTGATGCCGCGGTACGACCGCTGGCAGGTCGTAGCTTTATCAGAAATCCTACGTGCACTCCACCAAAGCGGCACCAAAGATTCATATTTTCGCGCGTGCAGCCGCGCATGCGCACACCTTTCGGATAAAACGCCGGACGCGACACCTGTCGCGATCAATACCACGTGTTTCAGGCGAGCCCCTTCGGTCCCAACACTACCCAAGTATTCTAGTACAGTGTATCAGCGCTGCGCCAAATATTTTGCTGTGCTGTGCCGCCATAATCGGCAGTTTGATACTTTAGACCCATGTTCCGGATAAAAAATACAGGACGCGGGATGGCCAAAAAAACATGCTTTTCGTGCAAGGCTCGTCAAATTATGAGGCGCTGGAGAAATGCAGCCTTCTGCGTTAAGTCCTTATTTCGAACTCTTTTTGTTCGCCTTCCGCCCATTGAAAAGCATGCGGGAAGGCCTTAGAACGCACGTGGTATCGCTGCGCCGCAGCGTTCTTCCGCATCAAAAAGTTCGTCTGCTTTCCTCGCCGTCACCATGGCAACGAACGCCGAATGAATAGAAGCACGAACGGTACCGCCGCGTGAAGCCAGCAACAGCTGACGCCATTTTACGAACGCCGTCTGCTAGCCAAAGCCGAACGCGGTGTGTCAGATCAACCGCCTCCGCCGGTGCGCCGTTGGCAAAGACGACGAAGTGACGAAGCTGAGACACGC